TATGTATGGGTGTGAGCGTGGGTGTTCGTGTGGGATGTGAGGGTGTAGGATGTGGGTGGGTGTGAGGGTGTGGGATAATTCTCGTATTTGTCTACACGGACACCCACACCCACACCCACCCCAAATTCCTCTTATCATACCTGCATTTCTTTCACACCAGACATACAGGTATTCTCTTAAAACGACACAATTATTTATCCATACATTTTGTCGATTACTCTACCAGTTTCTACAGAGTTAAATAAATATCTATCTCTCCATATATAATTTTCACTGCTGCTTTTTCACTATTTTCTATAATCATTCGTAATAATATCAGAACAATTCATATACTGATCATATATTAGGTATAAGAGAGCAGTGTGATCACATACAACCTATAGTTGCCAATAATTTTTTCTGGATATTTTATCATCATTTAATAGCATTTGAAAACAGCTATCGATTAATATATAAACTAACTTGGTTCATGCGAAGGGATCCAAATTTTTGTGAACCAAATTGCGCTAGTGTCAATTCATCGTATTTCAAATCACGTCTAGAGTAGCTCACTTTGGTTTACAAAAGTTTGGATCACTTCACATGGCCACTAACTTAGTGGTCCCTTTTTTAGTTGAAGATGACTTGTCTCTATTCTCAATTATAATGTATTTTTATTGGCATATGATCGTAAATTATTTGTAAGGCTTTGTGCATGAAAGCCGCATGGAATCGATGTGATTTCTTTATTAAAATGTTTCTTTCAACTAATAATAATATTCGACAAGAAAAAAATCTGAATTTTTGAAGGGAGCTGTTTTTCAATCAAAACGATCCCCCTCCTTTTATGTTGATGTTTTTTTTTCCATAGTGAAAGTTCTATTCAATTTGGGGTACTTGTTCATAACTATGGTTATTTCACTAATGAGGAAAGCTCTAATGACAGAAAATTTGATATTTGACTCTGATGTGATGTTTTGCCATTGAAATAGATTTTAGCGAAAGTTATTTTATGATCAAAATTTCAAGAACGAATATAAGATCTTTCAATTTATACCAATGGTGTGAAAGTCAAACTATTAATGTACCTACATCTTTTGAGAGAAAACTAGCAACAAATTTTGAAACATTGTCAAATAACTTATTTCGGAACACGAAATTCAGAGTATGCACATTACATTATTCTCATGGTCATATCAATGTTTTGTTTATTAGATACATGGAAGAAATATTAACTTACTTCTAATAGAATCTTATAAACCAATAAATATAAATTCATCATCGATTTGTTTTATCGATAATAGATATTTAAAGATGACAAAAATAGAAATGTAAAAATGACTATATATTTTATTTAAAATGTTGTTATTACGTTAAATTAGAATCCAAAAAATCAGATACTAATTAAACAGGAGAAGGCATATAAGAATATCAATATTTATATAAATTTATGTTAATATTATACGCGTGTAAGTCGAATGTCCCTGCATATATATTTGTGATTTTCTTATCATAGTCTATAATATATATTTAATCTTGTATACGATAAATTCTATTAAACTATCTCTATAAAAATAACACGAAAAGTATAATGAGAAATAAATCATGTATTTTTAGAAATTCTTTTTTGCATAAAAGTAAAATACACTTGCTATTAGTAAAAATCTGTTTCAATCATATTTGTATCATATGGAGTTTTGATTATGAAAACGAAATAGACTGAAACAAACTGACACTCACATCTACACTTCATATTATTTCGATATTGATTCTTTCTATCTATGTTGGAAAAAACCTTGGCAACAATGTAAACAATATTCTTTGTTTTCTTTTTGTTTGTTTTTTATAAAACACTTATTTTATTAATTTAAGATACCTTACATATAGAAACTTATACAAAATAAGAGAATCTTATAATGGAATCAGTTAGGAGTAAATAAAAAGAGAAAAAATTAAAACAAAAAGGATATAGCAACTCATTTCGAGATTCTATGTGTAACTTTTCAGTTTTTTCTTTCCGACGAATTATGCTCAATTGATCCATAATATAATTATTCACTTGTTGGGGCACATGTTTCGTCACTATCCTTTTTGTCAATGAAAAAGAAATTTGTGAAATAAAAAAGAAAACGAACGAACAAAAAATTGCGACAAGAATCCTTCAAGTCATCTATAACAACAAAGTAACAAACCAAAAAATAAAAAGTGTCAACACGAAAAAGACACTATTAGAAAAGTCATTTACGAAAAACACAACGCCGCTATTATCATCAAAATCATCCAAATGGACAAAAAACAACATTCCAAATCAAGTGGTAGTGGCTCATCGTCGTCTAGGACAAGTAAGCCAAAAATATTATCTTCAGCAGCAACGACAGTGCCGAGTAGAAATGCCATCCTGCTACAACCCGTTCGTCGGGTTATACAAAATTTCCTCCTGATTTGGTTAGATGCAACTATTGATGAGACAAAAGATGACTTTAGAAAATCATTGAAGCATTTGCGACATGTTGTAGCATCTATTACAACATTTATGGATGCAGAACAATGTTTCAAATTTCTTGATGAAATTAAAAAAGAGAAAGTATTTATGATTGTATTTGGTGCATTTGGACGACAAGTAGCACCAGAATTGCAAGTAATGCCACAACTCGAATCAATATATGTTTTCTGTAGCAATAAATCCTATCATGAAGAATGGGCCAAAACTATACCGAAGGTGAAGGGCGTTTACACTGACATCAAGCCAATTTGTGAAGCACTTGAAATTGATCGACAACGATGTAATCAATCAATGATTCCAGTAAGCTTTAATGGTCTGGATCCTCTGTTCATGTACACACAATTATTAAAAGAAGCACTGCTGGATATCGAAAATGATAATGAAAAACCCATCAAAGATTTGGTAGATTTTTGTCGTGAACAAGACGATATTCCTGAAGATCAAATCGAACAAATCAAACGTGAATATCATGACCATCCGCCGATATGGTGGTATACAGCCGAGACATTTATGTATCCAATGCTCAATCGTGGACTTCGACAAATGGATGCCGACATCATTGTGAAAATGGTTTTTTTCATTCGACATCTCCATAATCATATTATGGAACTACACCATGAACAGCAAGGCAGCATCCCGACCCAATTCCAAGTCTTTCGTGGACAAGGTTTGTCCATGGAAGATTTTGAAAAAATGAGAAAAAGCAAGGAAGGACTTATGTCCTTCAACAATTTCTTGTCCACAAGTCGCAATCGCACGATTTCACTCGAAAACTTTGCGCGGCCAGCCGCAAAGAATGCCACCTCAGTTGGCATCCTCTTTATTATGAACATTGATACGGCTGTTTGCAAGCAATCTTCAACATCATTTGCTGAAGTAACCAGCAAAGTTGGCTTCTTTCAAGACAAGGAAGAAGAAACACTTTTTACAACACATACAATCTTTCGTATCGACCGGCTCGAACGAATTGAAGAAAATTATACTGATCGCCTATGGCAAGTCAATCTCACTCTGGTGGGTAATCAAGATGATAATTTCAATAAACTCACGGCACGATTACGCGAAGAAATTAGTTCATTAACAAAAGGGTGGTGTCGATTGGGTGAGATACTCATTAGGGTGGCTGAATTTGAGAAAGCAGGACATCTCTACGATATACTCGTTGACAATACCTCTTCTGATCAAGAGAGATCGGAATACAATTTTCAACTTGCTAGAGTGTATAAAGACATGGGTGAATACTCGAAAGCACTTACATATTACGAAAAAAATCTCATATATAAACAAAAAACTCTATCACCTAATGATCCTAGCTTGGCTAGTACTTACAATCAGATCGGTCTGGTATATTATAACATGGGCGAGTACTCGAAAGCACTTTCATCGTACGAACGATCACTTGAAATCCAAAAAATCGCTCTCCCGCCGAATCATCTCGGCTTGGCTGCTTCCTAAGGCAACATTGGTCTGGTTTATAGAAACAT